TTCCATTTGTTTCGGTATTACTTGACAGATTACCTGAATCATCAAAGAGCACTTTCTAAGTTTCTCACAGTTTCGAATTTGTTGAATTTCACAATAAATTTGCGAGAAGAAACCTTTTCCCAAAAGACAAGTTGCATGTCTTTGTAAAGATAAAGAACGGCTCCGAATTTAGGATAAAAAGTTCTTCCCATCAAAAATTTGAAAAATGACTATGTTTTGCCGGATCATGAGGGTTATCGCCATGAAAATTTTGTCGAAGCATCAATCACTTCATTCATTTCCTTTGGTTTGGCAGTACGTAACCAACTAAGTCGGATAGAAATGCGAAGTAAATTGATATTTCTTTGCAACCTAATTTTTGAAGAAAAAAAATTTGAGAATGCAAAAGTTTAGTAAACTAGAATTACTGCCATTTGCGCAACAAAATTTGCTTCAGATCTCGGCAAAGTAACCGAAAAGTCCAAAGTTTTTTTCCACTGTTTGTCTCGTTAAACAGAAACTGTGTTACTATTTTGCATCAGATTCATCTACTGCTGCTGCTGGTTCAGATATTTGAAAAAACAATTATTTTACAGACGGTGTTTGATGTTTTCTCACTGTATATGAAGTTTGTAGAAAATAGTAAATTGAATTTAGGTTACCATTAGTACACAATTTCATAAGTGCAAAGTCTGTTTTGTTTTCGTTGTCCATTTCTAGAAATTAAGTTGCTGGGATTTTTTCTTTTTTTGTGGTACATTATGCTCTTCGCCGAATCCCCTCTCACAATCATCGTATTCTCACCTGGCAATTCACTGCTGTTTAGATCCATCTGAGCTCCTGGGTGACGTTTGGGTGAAAGACTAGTTCGGTAAGAGATACTCCACAGTCCCTATTGAAAAATTTTTATAAACTTCAAACTCTGGAAGTATACATTTTGATCGTCAACTGGAAAAATTCTCTTCCGTGTAGAAAATTTTTTCCGGAAACTAATAAGGCCCCCTCCTGTGAACAGTTTGGCCGCTGTAATACGCTATTTTCTTGTTTAAGAAATGTACTATCACACTCTGGAGTCATCCAAACACAAAGCTTTGAGTTTAGTGATATATTTGTCACACTTTTACCGACCTCTCGCTGTTGTTCGTTTTTCAACCAATCATAAAAACTTGATTTTTTCAGGGCACAAAATTTCCTCGAATTTTAATAAGGTAAATGTATATTGCAACTTGAATAATTTTTGAAATACAAGTTAACAATCGAGGAAAAACCAAATAATCTAGGTTCTCAACTTTGGTTCCAAGTATTTGCGCAAAAACTCTGTCTTTTCCTTTTCAGGCATAACATAAAAATTGGCGCTAGGATTTCTTAACGCAAAACTCAGAAGTAATTGATTCAAGTTTACATTCAGGTAAACACAGTTTTCTCAACGAAGCTTTCTTGGTCGAGCTTTTGAAGTATATAGAAATTAATTTGAGGTCAAAAAAAGATTGGATCACTGTAATCTGGTGTTGTCATTGCTCTTTTTAAATCACTTTGACTTTTTTCTTGTAACAAACTACTTCCAGTAAAGCACAATTGATCTCTCGTTTTTCATTCTAGTAAATGTTAGATTTATAGTTTTTTCAACTTCATGAAAAGGCAGAAAGCTTTTCCACTCAAATGTCCCAAGAAACTGTTGTTACAATTCCAGGGCAATGTGTAATAGTACATAGGAACTCTTGGTAAATCTCGTGTTTAAATCCGGCGGCAATGTGAAAATTATTGTGCAATCGTAAAACTTGGAATATTTCAAGTATGTATCCGGAAAAAATTTATCAATACCAATCAAACCACCATAAAGTCTAAACTTAAAAAATGTCGCAGTTCAGGTTATCAGAACTAACAAAAAACAGAAATTATCCTGCTAAAAAAGAAGCTTCTTCAATTAAAAATATCGGGATAAGGTAATTTCAAGGGCGTATAATTTTCGTGAAATAATTCTAAGACAGCATTTGCTACTCTTGCTTCGTAATTTCATTGTTCACTTTTTCCAACACCTTTTAAACTTGTTGAAATTGAAGGCAGTGGAAATCAAAATGACCTTTCCGATATCCTTTAGACTCACTTAGTTATCGTTGGTAAATAATCAAATAAACCTCCGGAAGTTTTTTGTATTTTGATAGCTTGTTGAACATTAGACGTATTTTCCTCTCCAATTCTTTAGCAACACATATTGAGTTAAAATTAAACAGGTAGTCAAATACATTTAGATCATCAGCAAACGTTTGATTGCTCAGAGAGCCATACTTTTGTTTTTTAGAAATGCATTTAGTCATTTGTTGAAGGTCACTCAACTGAAAAAATTCTTTGAAAATCGATTCGTACTCTTCCTTCGAATTTTTTATTTGCCTTCTCGAAAAACACGATTTTTAAATTTGAAATTTTTCCGTGGTGGAAAATACTCTAAATTGTGAAGTTTCATTATCATTATCTTCACTACACCAAATTTGTCATTCGCTCTAATTGCATCCTGAAACAGCCGCCACTTTTGGAGAGTGATTTCAATTTACTGACTTTTCACCATAAAAAATAGCACAAGTTGAGAAAGTAGTTTACTGCTGCCAACAGTTAAGCGACACTGCCAAAAAGATCGGCGACTTTTTATTATGTACCATAAAATTCAATTCCACTTTCGCTAACAAATTTGAAATAGTTCGAAAGTTGATTAGACCGAAACAAATAAAACAATTAAAATGAATCATACAATTAACCAGGACCAGTAAATAGGACTGCAAAAACATGGAATTGGAAAGGATAGTGTTTTGTGTCTCTTATTGTTAAGCTAAGCCAATGAGGTCTTGTTGTTAAGCTAAGCCAATAAGGGGTCACCTGCTAACTTGGAGGAAAAAATCCTTCGTTTACAATATCCTAAGATGAGGGTCCTCCAGAAAAAATATGGACATCTATTTTCATATTTTGCTTTGCATGAGTCCCCCCTTAGGATCTGGAACACATTATAATACTACTAGATTCTCTTTAGAAATGTATTTCTATCACTCCCTATAAAAAGTCAAAAGGAGTGAGCATTATATGATAGAGCGACAAAACGTTACAAGCGACAATTTGTAATACGCGACAATTCGTGACAAGACATTGGCAAGTAGAACACGATTGCTGGGCTTCCCTTCGCTGCGCTTATATCGGGCAGGAGATATATGCTGCGTGTGAACCAGTGTTCATTGCTTATCTAAGACTACGAATTGTCGATTTTTACAAATTGTCGCCTGTTAAGAACTATCGTCTGTTACGATTTGTCGCCTTTTAGGAAATTAAAACTCTTTTCTCAGCATTGATTTTACTTTTGGATGCCTAGCATATGATCAACAGCTTCACCTGATAAGGAATTTATGTAGAAACAAGGATAGACGGTTACTGTGCAAGTAGCACAGAATGTTCCGGCCATAGTCTTCAGAAAAAAAACTAAAAGAAAAAGCTTTTTTTTTCAAATTAGTTTTTCTGCCGGAGGTGAAAAAACCTGTTGTAAAACTATGTTTTAGGTATAATTGACGTTCATAGTTAGACAGTCAAATAAGACACAAACTAATTTTATTTTTTTTTTTCAAGTTTTTTTTGCTGAAACTTTTCCAATTATTTCGAAATTTTGGGTTGCAGAATAGAGGTCCAAATCTCCTACAATTAGTTAACTTACTTAAAGTTAAGTTTTTAGGGCTTAAATTCAAAATTTTGCGTAAAAAAACTAAAACACAGTCGACTAAAAAGTTCCTTCGCATATTCAATGGTCGGAAGAAAATTTGTAAAATGTTTTGTTCATATTAGTACCGCACAGCATTTTAGAATTCACTGTATATAAATTTTGTTATGCTGGTTATATAAAAAACGTTTGAGTTTTTCTGCTATAAAAAAACTATAAATGCAATAGATTCAGGGAACCGTGTATGCTACTGCTGAATTCGAATTAAAAGCGAATTTCGCAAAAAACAGCGGCTTCCGCGTAAAATTTCTAGTGTGGAATCCAATGCACACATGCATTAGGATTTATTTCATGACACCACAAAACAATCTGGGTCCCTCAAATAATGCTGTTTCAACTCGTGTTTGGAGTTACCTTCTGTTTTTGAACTAGTTAAGTCTGCAATCCACGTCAGAAATAGTATCAAACCAATATCAGCCTTACCACGGATTTTGAAAACAAAACAAATTTTCAACTTTCAGCTAATTTTGCAGTTTTTCGCACTTCCACAACTTGAACCAATCCAGTTATCTCTTGACGCATCAGCCAATCAAAAAATAAAATTTTAACCAAACTTTTAGGTTACTGTTTTGCAGAAACTAACTCATACACATTTTATGACCGTTTTGGTCATAAAATGTGTATGAGTTAGTTTCTGCAAAACAGTAACCTAAAAGTTTGGTTCTAATTTTATTTTTTGATTGGCTGATGATCACATTGTTCAAAATTATTTACTCATTTTTGCTGCAACCCCTGAAAAGGGAAAAATTGTTTTCGGAGTTTTGTTTGTTTTGTTTTGTTTTTGTTTGTCCACGCAAAGTTAGGAACTACAGACAATCATCGGAAAGCGTCGAGTAATATATCTTTCTAAAGCCTTTTTACTCGTTTTTCGTTGATTCGTAAATATTGAAACTTTTTTCTCAGCGTCTAGGATAACCAGTATGAATTTTTTGGATTTTGGTATAATAATGAGCGAATAAGGGTAAAACAGCCTACTACTTATGCTTAATTCTTAATTCAGGCCGTGAAAACTTGGTTTTACCCAAGAAAAATTTTTTGGAGTTTGTTTGCACTATTTTGGAGTCGAAATT